TTGGGGGATCGTTGGGGGATCGTAGAAGCATCGTGGCTCGCCGAAACCCACCAGGGACGGTGTGTGGGATAGGGGGGCCGCCCTTAGGATCCCTTCCATCCTTTGGCAGGACATTAGGGAGGCTGGCGGGGCTCAGGGCAGCCAGGAGCTGAGAATTTGGGGCAGGTGCAGGGGCAGGCGGCTGGGGCCGGCTCTGCAGGGGGGGCAGCAGCACCGCACAGCCCCCGGGGCAGCCCTGGGGCGTGGGGGCAGCCTCCGGCGGGGGAACCCCGGCCCCGCGTCGCAGCCAATGGGGGGGGGGCGGCTCCGGGTGCGTCACAAGGGGTGGGCGGGGCGTCGGGGGGGATCCCCCGCTTTGCCACGTGGGGGAGGGAGGGGGCGAGAAGGGGGGCGTGAAGATTGGGGCGGGGGGGGGGGGGGCAAATAGGGGGAGGAGAGGAAATAAAGGAGGGGTCGCGGGCTCCGCTCCGCACCCGCAGATGCCCCGCCAGGGCGGGGAAGGGGCCGTAATATTGCTCCGGGGCTGCCTCCCCCCGCAGCATCCCGGGGGGGCGACCCCCACCCCAGCCCAGGTTCCCCGCAATTAGGGTTGCGCGGAGGGGTCGGGAGGTCTGGGGGCAGGCTGCAGCCCCCCCTGCTTCCCCCGGGGGCTCCGCGCTGAGACATCTTGATCGCGTTTGTTCCCCCCTCCCTCCGCTCCGGCTCCCAGGCGGGGTTTAGCCCGCCTCCCCCCGGCCTCCCCTCGCTTTCCTGCCTGCCGTCCCATCCCTCCCTCTCCTCTGCAGGCAGGGGAGAAGCCGACCTGGGCTGGGGAACGGCTTCCGAACCTGTTGCTTCATTATTATCATCGTTATTTTCCAAATCGTATCGCTCAGCAATATCTTAAAGGGATTATGCGGAGGGGGGGTCGAAGCTGAAAACCTCATTCATCCCTGCGGCCCTATTCATTGCTGAAATAGGTGTAGCCTAGGCACGGTGAGATCCTTCCCCAGCCCCGCTCCTGTTCTGGGGCTCTGTTCAGCCTTCCTCCCTTGGGGATGGGAGGAGAGGGTCTTCTGCTGCCGAGATGACAGAAAGGGGGGCTCGTAAAGCTCGTAAATCACCCACCTTGTTTGTCCTTCTGTCCTTTGGTCATAGAGGGGCTCCAGCCAGCTGTGTGGTCTCACGTACCGTTGCTCCCGCTGAACAGTTTCCAAGTTTGAGGTAAAAAGATCAAATCGCACTTTTCAGGGACTTATTCAGACGCTCAGGAATAAAAAATAATTAAAAAGGAAAATAATAAAAAATAATCATTTAAGGCTATTCAGTCCTGCTCATTTTCTCCCACGTGTTTTCCCTATTACAACGTATTTGTCTTTTTCTGCTTCAGTTTCTAGTTCAAAGTTGTGGGATTTCTTTTTTTTTTTTTTTCAAATAATAATAATTAAAAAAAAAAGAAATAATAAATTAGGAGTTAGTTTCTCGTGGTCGAAGCTGAAGATCGTATTTCAAACCCGGCTAGCCAGGAGCCTGGAGAAGTTGCAAGGCAGCGGCAGAAAGTTTGAGATGTAGAGCATCAGATAAAGTCTCTTTGGTGATGCCTTGCTGACCGAGTAACTGTTTCAATGAGGTTTCTCAGCAGCAGCAAACGGGTAATGTTATCCAGACGTCTTTTTCTTTCCTGCTGCTGCTGCTGCTTTTCTGCCTCCTCCACGTTATGGGGTCTTTTTAACAAGTGAGACTTGAGTTGTTTAATAGGCGGAGGATGGGAAGGAGGGAGGGAACTCCTGTAAGGAGGAAAAAAAAAAAAAAAAAAAAAAAAAAAGCCAACCCTGCCCATTGAAATGATCTCAGCAGCCAAGGACCAATTCAGCGGCTGGAATTCAGCTAGCTAAGTCGCCAATTCTGCAAAGAAACGCAATGCACACACGTTGCCACCACCTGATTTCCTCTTCGTGCCCCCGCAGTTTTGGGGAAGCCCCCCCACCCCCCCTCCATCTCTGGGCTCGGGGTCTGGGACTTGTCCCTCCCACAGCCACTATTCGGCTGGGACAGCTTCAGCTGCTGCTGGTTTTTATTAATAAGGGAATTGCCTCTATGAATGGATGAACTTTGCAGTTTCCAATTCTGCTTTACCCATTCAGTCTCGGAAGCATTTGCTGGAGTACAACCCGAGGAAGCCCCCCCCCCCCCCCCCCCAACTCTGGCATTAACCCCCCGTGCCATTTTTGTTAAAACCAGCCCGGAAACACGTTAGGCGATTCAAGAAGTGGGAAAACGTGTCGTTTTTCTTTTTTATTTTTTTTTCACCAACACTTTTCTCTGGGTGCTCTGTTGCCTGCTCACAGTTAACCGGGGCCGGGCAGGGGCAGCGCAGGCTCCAGCCCACCCGCGGCTGTGCCGGCTTGCACTCATCCGGATGGGCTCCTTCTCTCGTAGCCCTCCCTCAAAACCCTGCAGCCCCCCATTTTCCCTTGAAATGACCGAAAAGAGGCACTAGGTGGCACTGTTGAAGTGAGAGGAGAGGCAGGGCCGTGACAGGAGGCCCGCCGCTCAGCCCCGCCGCCTCCTCAGGGCCCACAAAGGGCGCGGAGGCCGCAATGGGGACGGTCCAGACACCATGGGGAAAGTCAGGGGTGACTCCTCGCCCCGCTTCACTTCCCGGTGTGGGAAAGCTCCTCCTGTCTGCTCCTCGGGACTGAGGAATAGTAGAATCATAGAATCAGTAAAGTTGGAAATGACCTCCAAGACCCAACCATCCCCCTACCACCCGTGTCACCCACAATGGTGTAAATCACACAGTCACACAGAGTGGCCGAGGTTGGCAGGGACCCCTGGAGATCATCTGGCCCAACCCTCCTGCCGAGCAGGGTCACCTAACACATTTTTCACGATGGCATCCAGGTGAGGTTTGGATATCTCCAGAGAAGGAGACCCCACAACCTCTCTGAGCAAATGGTGTAAAGTTGGCAGTCACATGCATTGGAGGTTTCCCTGGTACCTTGGTCAGATTTTTGGGTGTGCTCAGCTGTTGCTGAGAGGAAGAGAGATTTTAAGATGAGCCTGGAAGCTGAGCTCTTGGAGAAATTCGTCTGCCTCAAATAACAAGGCTGCCTCTGATTTAGGCCAGAGTTTTGTGGCTGTTTTAGCCTGACAGAGCCAGGAAAAGCAGCTGTCTCACCATCCTGCTTTGGGCTCCTTATTCCTGCCCCTGCACTGCCCCTTTCCCTGTTCTACCTGTCAGGAGAGCTGACCTAGGCTAAAAAATAGCCACTTGAGCAAAGGAAGCAGCAAAAAAGTATGAACAAGTCACTTGGGCAGGGACGAGGCAGGACAAGTGCTTTAGGAACAAACCTGGTTTGTGATGGCTTGGAGTGTCCTTGAAAGGCTTAGCAAGCATGAAGTTTAGCAGGGTTTTGAGGCATGTCCCCGTTTCAGATTTTCCTCCCTATACAGCACCACTCCCATGGTCCAACCACCTTCAAATGGCCAGCATTGCAGCACCTCCTGGTACAGGGTGCAGCACGGCTCTCCTCAGGTATGGGTGAAATTGCCGTGTCTGCTCCAAGCTGGGCAAGAGGGCACAAGGGTGTCAAAAGAGCTACCAAAACCCTTCTTCATGCTAGCCCTTCCTACTACCCAAATATCTAGCATCAGCCAGGCTTATAACATATAGAGCATCGGTCATTTAGGTAGGCAGGGAGCAATCGCCATGCTCTGCTACCATCAGACATTTCTACAGTGTTGTAACCAAGACATCAGCATCTGTTTGAGTCCTAAAGCATGGGTTCCTAGTATCAGACTTTCTCTGGTGCTTCCAGAGGTAAGAGAATTAGATTGTAACACAGATGGCCCAGGTCCATACCTGAACATGGCCACCCCAGAAAGCTGTGCCTTGGAGAGCTTTTTTTGTGAGACTTTGATGGGCTTCCTGGCCACTTGTTTGCCTCCCCCTCTGTACAGGGACACTTGTGTCCTACACAGGGGACTTCACATCTAGCATAATTTCTGAAATAATGTTTTGGTTTGGGATTGTTTGTTTTGTTGTGTTTTAACCAAATGTCTTTTGAACTAATATTTCTTTGCGTTATATTCCATTTTAAAAATAGTTTAAAGAGGCTGCACTTCTCCTCTACTGATGATTGCATCTATTACTCTGAAAATTCACAGTGTCCCACTGCCTTAATGATGTCTTCTTTGGGTTTGAACAGGGATCAAGAGACAGATCCCAGTGAGGCACAAATCTTTGTGTCCGGCTTGTATTACAGGGACAGCAATAGCAGCACTTAAATCACACTGCAACTTTGCTTTAGCAAATGACATAATGGGAGTGGTGAGTCTCTCATGTCCACAGCTACTTCCTTCTCAGCCATAGCTGTCATTGTGTGACCATGCTTTTAGAGCGAGAAAGACGTAGGTCTCTGAAGCTAGCTTTGCGTACCAGGAAGGAATTAAAAGTAAGAGGATATCTTTAATGCCAATACACACAGTGCGGTAGAAAATGGATGTATGTGTGTTTCATCAAAAACATATCACAGCTATGTTTATATGTTATGCTACGTCTACATGGTTACCACTATTAAACAATCCTGTTTTCTAATTGGGATTTATAATCACAAGAAGCGGGGAAAAGGGACTTTGTTGCTATCAGCCACAAATGTAAATGATCACCAGCAGCAGGAGAGCAATCTTAATGAACTAACCTGACTTCATTTTCTAATGAGGCAATGGGTTTGCCTGACAGAAATCAGAAAAATATATTCTGGGGGGAGTTTGACATAGCCTATGGTTCAATAAATTAATGACAACAGAACAAATTAGGGGATGAATTGATGGCATGTTAGCCATTCTCCACTGACTACTGAGTGCTTTCTTTCAGCCTGAGGGGATGGCTCCATGTGCATTTTTCCTGCCTCTTCTTTCTTATCACCTTCTTATCAACTTCTTTCTTGAATGTGTTAATCCTCTCCCTAACACAAGCACACACACACACACTCACTTACTACCACATGAAGACTAGCACAGTTTGCAAGACTGAATTGATTGCTTCAGTGAACAGATCTTTGTTAGAGATAACTACAAAGCATGAAAGCCATTTCCTACGTGCATGTACAAACTGGCTGCTCAGGGTGAGGGGAAGGGGGGATGCTCTCGGGTGGAAACCAGAAGCTAGTGGTTGCTGTCAGCAGGACTGACCTAAATAGCATCCTGAGTAGCACTGCTGCCAGGAAAATACAAATGGAGCCGGTCCCTCAGTGAAGCTGAATTGGCTGAGCCTATCCATGCTGAAGGGCTCTTATCTCACATCTTCTCTAAGGTAAGGATTTACACTCTCCTTTATTACAGGTCAGCTACTGTGCAGACCTTATCAGAAATAAATGCAGGAAGCAAACTGTTTGCAATGCATATTTGTCTTCACAATAAGAAAATGGGATATAATAAGGATCTTTTTCATAAAACAGTGACAAACTAGAAGTTGAGCATAGACATTTTCAGGTTAGACATGAGGCACCTAATAGTGGGCTTTCTTTAACAGTTGCCTGAACAATGAAAGGGAGGGGTGGATTCCTATGTTTTGAAATCCTCTGGATGCCGTTTTGGAGCTACACTTTAGTTCAGCGCAAGTTATTGGACCCAGTACAAGAATAACTGAATGAATTTCCATAATGGGGTTGTCAGGCTAAGTGATCTAGCAGTCCATTCTGTCCCTAAACTCCACAAAGCTACGAACAACTGGACTGACATTTCAGTCATAGATGTTCCACATCTATTTCCATGTGTAGGAGATTCTGCTGGAAGTGGGAAAGTTACGACTGATATAGGCATAAAGGAAAACAAAATCATGCTCTGTTATGATTTTATGGCAGTTGAAAATCCACATGCAGATTTTAATATAAATGTCATGGGCAGTTTTTGAGGCTCATGAAGACTGGGTGCAGAAAGACCTAGAACGCTGTGATTGCTTTCACTATATACAGAACTATTTTAGAGGTTACCAGTGTTCTGGGCATTTAAATCCAAGATTATTTATAAGTGAGACTTGACAGGATCTGGAGGAAACCACCAGTCTTTAAATGAAATCACTCATGCAAAATTGAAACTTTCCAACATTTTCTCTTTCGTATAGCAGAGAAATCCATAACTGAAACCAACAGTTGGAAGTTAATAGCAGACAGGTTCAGACTAGGAATAAGTCATGCACTTTTGGATGTGTTCTGAACTCTTGGCTAGAATGGGTTGTGAATGTCAGCAAAAATGCTGTTCGGGATAGTTTGAAGTAAGGAGTTCTAATGTGTAGCCAGCAAGGAGCAAAAGTAAAAGTGGGTCAGCTAGAGGTTTCGTTTGTGATGTCTAATTTAAGAAAAATGACTTAATCGCATGCCTACAGTCTACTGTGACAGTAGGAGAGCCCAATTTAGAATGACTTGAAGTTATTTTTAAATAGCAGCATTATATTCCATGTAGGATCCAAAGATAGCATCGCATAAAACAAAGAGCACATGTAATTGAAATACAGACCTACAAACAATGACTGTACTAGTAAACTAAACTGACCAGAACCAGTCAGCTCAAGGTTGCCACATGCTCTTCTGTGCTATTTCACCACTACCAAGCTTATGGCAGCACTGGGCCTGATGAGTATGAGAGCCTGACCTTCCCTGAAGAGGACCAGCTCTTCACCTGGGAGGAAGCTGGGACTCTCACCCCCACCAGCTTGCTCACAGAATGGAGAAATACTCCTGCACATTCTCAGATGCCTTCAGATGGAGAAACTGGACAAAATAGTCCACCCTTACAGTGTTTTTTGAAGCTCCCATGGCTGCTTGGAGTTAGTGGCCTTTGTTTATTGCTCTGCCTTTAATAATTGCCCTGCTGCCTTGCAGGGTATTGAAACCATGCCTCTGGGCTCAGCCAGCCTGGAATACCATCCTGACCTCCAACAACTCGGTGTTTGGGATTGTCCTCCCAACAGGGCTGCCAACTGGGGCACTGCAGTCCTCCTCAGCTGCTAAATGGGAACCAAGACACAGGGATCTGGACCCTCAGAGGTGCTTAATTGGATGAAATAAATTTTTCATTGAAATGAAGTTTCAATTTTCATTTAATTTCATTTTTTCATTGAAATGAAATTTTCATTGACTGAAATAAAAAATGAGTGAGACTTTCTTGGACCGTATGAGATTTAGGCAGGGGTTCAGAACACTCCTTGTATTTTTTCCTAGGGTGGTCTTTTGTCTGTTGCTGGTACATACCAACCAATTAACCCAAGCTTGCCATTTTAACCTCAATCGTTACATGGCTTCTTGCTAACTTCCTGAGAACATAACTCATTTTGTGTATTGGTGGCAGGAAGGTGAATGCTATTAAATAGACAGCCATTCCCTACTGACACCAGCTCAGTGAGGGATGGGTCACCACCTGCAAGCGTCTACACAGCTGCCCCAGCAGATATACCTCCCAGCACCCATACATCTTAGAGGTCTATTTTCTGCCAGTGTTGTACAAAAATTTGCCAGATATCAAAGCACATGTATGTCTTGTGTCTCTATCAGGAAGTACCATGTTGGACCTGTAGCTCTGAATGAAACTGATGTATTTTCAGTCAAAAATAGCTGAAAATCAGGAGTAAACCTAACACCTGTGGGCTGCTGTGCACCTCCCTGCTGGCTGTTGAGCAGTGTGGCTGCACGGGGTGCCTGCAACCTGCACACCTTGCCAAGAAAGGGTACAGACCTCGGGATGAGCCCCACCTTACTCTCCTACAGTAACATGTCTTATATGACTACACTAAAAATAGTTGGGAAGGGTGCAGTTCCACTCCGGGGAGCTCTCTGGCCTTCATGGATCTTTTCAGCTCGTGGCCTGGGTAGGAGGCTGGGATGCCGTGTACGGCCGCTGAGCTGTTTGAGCTATTGGTTTTGGCCCAGTGTTATGCAATGCATCTGGAGTGTGTGAAAGTGTCCAGTAGTGTTGCATTGAGGAGCAGGTAATGAACCTGAATGGAGCAAGCCTGCTTATAAATAATAAATATCAGAAAGTCCTAATGATCCCCAACAGCTTGCACACAAAGAAGGCAAGACCTGGTCATAGCCAAACACAAGCCAAATAATTTTCTTCCTTTTCTCCATGATTAGAAAGCATGTCACGCACCTTTTACAAAAGTGCGTTTGAGTGTACATGCTAATAACAAAGCAAACCTCTGAGTGATGACAGGAGGCAGAGCCTGCTGATTCGACTTGCTCTCATAATCTTTTTACTGAAAAAGTTGTTTTCAGTTCTGGTTATGAGGGCACATTTCAAAGACTTTGCTCTTTCATGCCTGTTGTCAAACCAAAGCCCAGACAATGAGGCCTTTCCTTGAATGTGTTCACGGAAGCAGGTGACATATCAGAACTAGTAGTGAATCAACAGAGATTTGGCAAAGCTAATGTGCCCTGATGCAGACTTCAGTTTGTCCTGCTGGTGCTTGATGCAATCTGAATGATAATGACTGCCCAGGCTGCAGTGGGTGAAAGTCTTTCTACGGCTGGAAAGGATTTGCATTCCAGATGAGATCCTCTGGGTAGGACTGGAATGGAAACATTGCATAGAATCATTTAGGTTTGAAAAGACCTTCAAAATCATCAAGTCCAATCATCAGCCTGACCTACCAAAGTCCATTGCCCATTAGTGTCACATCTGTAAGTCTCTTGAATACCTCCAGGGATGGGAGCTCCACCACTTCGCTGGGCTGCCCATTCCAGTGCACATTCCAGTGCAATGAACTTCCCATTCAGCTGTCTGGGAGAGCTGTTAGCCTGGCTGCCCTGCTGTCCCCACCACGGGCTGCATGCAGTCCCACTATCCAATCCTCCACGTGGCTGAAAGCAGTCCAGGCAGGCTGGTTTTCCCAAGCTTTTTCCATCATCAGTGGAAGATGGCAACTTCTTAAAGAGGGTAATTGAGATCTGTTGTGCTGTGTTGTGGACTGACTCTTAAAGGAACATTGTAGCTAATAAAAAGTGATTTTTTTTTTCCTTTTGAGTATGCTCATCTGACAGTATGTGAGGCTATGCCTACCATACCAAACCATGCAGACCAGCTGCGGGCCCCAGCCTGGTCCCATAGTAGGCCTTGTTTTAAGTTTACTGTTAGCATCCTCCGTGGCATGGTTCTGGCCTGTGCCAGCTAGTGCTTTCCCAGGCCATGGTGTATGCACAGGCAGGCTGAACACAGCCATTATTTGTTATCCCAGAAGAAATTTCAATTTTGTGAACACAAACCATAATGTGGCCCTTCAAGGCCACTGGAACTCTAGTTCGTGTTATTTACCATGGAAAACAGAGACTTCAGAATATATTATGTATATTACTTGAGCTGCATCAGCTTAAGGTTTTGCAGCCCATCTCTTGACACAGTCAAATGCACTTGCTCAGACACCACTAAACTATATATATATTTGTATAAATACTTTAGCACTTTTTTTTTTCTTCAGTGGGTTTGAGCTGAGCATATGCTATGACTCATCTCAGTTGTGGTGGCTGCGTATGCAGCATAAGTTCAACTGTATTCAGTCCTACGTACGTGCACCAAACTTTTGGCAAATTCCAGAACACAGTCTTTGAACACAAATGAGGAATGGGGCCTTAGTCCTTTGCTAGTCCTGCTAGGTTCACCAAGCCCTATTAGGCTCATTTGTCTCATTTTCCCCTCCTATTCACAGTGCTGGTGGATTCAAGCCATCCTTGAAAGGGCAGCTAAATAGAAAATAAGAGCATAATGTGGTTCCTTGATAACACATATGGTCATATAGGGGTGTTCCCAAGGGAGTTTTTTCCCCACATTTTCTGCAGATTAATATTAACTGATATTCATTATTTTTAATGATTAATTTACTCGATTAACACATTTTTGAGAGAAACATGCAAGATGTTTAACTACAGTGATGACATAAAAGGTACAAAGTTCATACTCTTGGTTTGCAGATGTCTGGGTAATACTGAGGGGGAGCGTCTTGATTTGATTTCTGATGTAAGTATGTTGGAGATTAAAACAACTTCAGTAGCATAAATCTCTAACTTCTGTCTGTGACTCTAAGTCCATTCACTCCGAGCAGACCCATTTGGCTGGCTTTTGGCCAAATCTGTCAAGGGGGAAGAATCATGTTGTAAAGCAATAGCATCCTGACTCTGCAGGACACTGTTTGATCTTGCCTACATAGATGGGGCTAAGCCATGCTATGACGGCATTATGGCAATGTGTTGCAGCCCCTTGAAGATCAGGGGTTTTCTTCATCTGTATAAGTTGGACTCCCAGTTGGAAGGAGACCCTTCCCAA